ATTGTAGGGTTTTCACCTTACAGTCTAAAGTGCCTCGAGGGAGCTGTTGGTGCTATTTAAATAAAACTGAACTGACTTGAATTCTCATGTGTCTTATGAGCGTTGAAGCACCACCTCAATTCATCCTGTGTTTTAACTCCCCCTCATTTAACTCTACTTCATTCTGATTTGCTGCCTCACCAGAGTGAAACGTTGCTGATGTCACAGATCCAAAAGTAGAAAAGAAACCGAGTGCATAGCAGACTGAAGCCTGAGCTTTTGGCTCACAGGGATTACTTGTACAAACTTTAACCATGTTCATTGAGACAGAATATTTATGACTGCAAAAAAAAAAGATATAAAGCACAATAAGCTGCAATTACTGACTATTTATGGTACGCTTTGCCAGAAGCAGCAGAGTATAGAACAAGTATTCAGACGCTGAGATCCTTTCTTCTCTCCGGTAGCAAAATCAGATGAAAACAGTCAGAGGGCTCCTGCTTCCAACGAGCGCCTCTACTGGCCAGCAGCCTCAGCTCTGACAGCTCGTCTGCGCCGCCTCATCACCGCCTACCAGCGCTCCAACCGGAGAGAGCAGCTTCGCCAGGAGGCACTCAACCGACCTGATGGCCGGCGACGAAGACGCAGGGAGTTCCTGCCTTCAGTTGGTATGGTTACTGAAACGGGAGGAGCAGCACCTTACATCCAAGATGGCGCAGGGATGTTCATGGCAGAAGGAAGCCCATATTTGGCTAAAGGAAGCGCTTATTTTGTCAAAGGTGGACAGTTTATGCCAGAGGCATCTCCAGTGTTGAACGCCAGCTCCCTGGTGTCTGAGGGAGCAATGTACTACAAGGAAAGAAGACAGAGGTAGCGTTTCATTTATTAGCAAGTTATTATTTATTGAATGCTTCCATGTTTAAAGAGACAATGACTCCCTAACAACAGCCCCCAGTAATTTCCTTTACATTTCTTTTTCAGATGGACGCGTCGTGAAGAGGCCGACTTCTATCGCGTTGTTTCAACCTTTGGAGTCGTTTTTGATACCAAACGTCAGAAATTTGATTGGACGCAGTTCAGAGCCTTTGCTCGACTGGACAAGAAAACCGACGAGAGTTTGGAGAAGTACTACTATTCATTCATCGCCATGTGTAAACGGGTCTGCAGAATGCAAATCAAGACTGAAACCGGTAAGGTGGACTTGTGGACACGTTTCTTGAGATTGTTTAAACTTGAGTGATGTTTATTTTCCTAATTCTTGTTTGCCTTATTTGTCATCAGAACTTCCAGACCCGACTCTGATCATTGACCCCATAACAGAGGAGCGTGCCTCTCGGACCCTCTACCGCATCGAGCTTCTCCGCCGCATCCGAGAGCAGGTCCTCCCTCACCCTCTGCTTTCTGAACGCCTCAAGCTCTGTCAGCCTTCCCCAGACCTTCCAGAGTGGTGGGAGTGTGGCCGCCACGACCGGGACCTCCTCCTGGGTGCTTCGAAGCATGGTGTGAGCCGCACAGATTATCACATCTTGAACGACCCAACCTTGGCCTTCCTGGAGTCCCACCAACGCTTTACCAGCCAGCGAGGAGCCAGCGTTAGCATAGGAGCCTCATTAGAGATCACCAAAGCTGGGATGGGAGGGACAGAAAGTACCTCTGCTCCGCTCCTAACCCCTGCAGAACTGGCAAGTGCCACAGCTGCTGCCAAAATCGCTGTCAATGCAACAAAAGAGGAGGAGGTGGAAGAGAAGGCTGTAAAGATGGAGGACGAGAAAGCAGAAATGGTGGTCAAAATGGAGGAAGGAGATGCCAACAACATTCCGTGTGCTAAAACTGAAACTCCCGATGAACAGAAGGAACACGAGGGAGAGATCAGAGAAGATAAAGATGAGACCGCTGCATCACAAAGTAAGGAGATCAAGAAAGAAGAGGAGGTGCAGCCACAGGCAGAAAACGAAGAGCAAGAAGTGCACAAAGAAGAGCAAAGTGGTGAAGAAGAGAAGCTAACCAATGACCAGGACAAAGACCTGACAGAAGAGAAAAACGGCACACTCGGTGACCAGAAGGACACACTCGCTGAACTCCAACACTCCTCTCCTAAAGCGCAACCAGCTCAAAAGACTGCAGAGGAGGAAGATGGAGAAGAAAAGGAGAACCCAGAGTCTCCTAAATCTCCAAAGTCTGCTGACACAGAGAAAAGCCCAGAGGAGGAAGAGGAGGAGAGGCTAGATGAAGATGACAAATCAGAGAAGTCTTCTCAGGCTGAAGGTATGAGTGAAGGCCGAGTTAGTGATCTGAGCAGGGATAATGTTGAACCATTAGTTCTTCACCTCATCTCTGATAAAACAAATCGAACTGTAGCTTGCACAAATTTCTCTCATTTCACTTTTGTGTGTTATGACCCTTTTGCTGCTGACTTTATTTGCCCTGGTTGTCAGCCACTGTTATTGCTGGGCCTACACTCGGTCACAGGCTCATTAAAACCCTGACGAGTCATGAGGGGAAACACCAGAAATAGGCCCGAGTTCCAGGGGCGAGAGGAAAAAATGAGTTTAGCTCCCTCGATAACAATTCAGAATGTCTTTTTAATTAAGGCTTGTAGCATGACTTTCCTTCTCTCGACACAGTGAGTGCTGCGTCAGAGCAGAAGAACTTTGACGAGGAGAGCATCGCATCTCTGAGCACCTCGGCCCGGGATGAAACCAGAGACGGCTTCTGCCCCGACGACCTGCCTGAAACCTCTGCATTGCAGGCTTTACAGGACCGAGCCTTTGGCTTCTCATTCTGGCCTAAGGTGAGTCTCAAATACTAGCCAGCGGATACAAACAACAGAGGCTGAAATTACATTACAATATAGTAATTTCTTACATGTTAAAGTGAACAGATTATCCGACTACAGCAGCTTTTCCTGATTCATATTTTACGATCCAGTTTAACTTTCTGCTCCAAGCAGACCCTTTTCTGATTGGCCACCCCTTGGCATATTAGGCATGACGTCACATACCCAGTCTCCTTTAATTTCAGGATTTAGATTTCTAAAGCAGTAATTCTGTCAGCACATGAATCACATCATGCACACAACACAGTAGCTCTGCTTTTCTTCTTTGCTTGGCTTGGCTGTTCCTATGCAGTCACAGTACTTAAACTCAACCCTTTGTATAAACATTACACATTAAGGCTGAACTGTTAAGATTTGTCAATTTTTTTTAATGTGGCCCCTCTTTTTTTTTTTCTTTTTATATATAATACTTTTTTTTTCATCATTAATCTTCCCATAATGAACTGAACTGTCCTCCAACTGAAACTGGACCTTGTAAAAACCTACATCTTAAAGTTTGAGGAATTCTTTCTGCTATGTGCGGATAGTTTTTAGGCCAAGAAATAATCAGAACCAGCCCTACATTAACTGCTTACCAGAAGGAGGATTATGCCTTTTGATCTACTGCAAGGCTTTTAATATGAAACATCTGTGCGGGAAGTGTTTACTTCACAGTAGCTCAGCAGCAATTGTAAAACAGCGAGTGATTGGAAAGAATTACAAAAGAGAGAGTTTTCTGTTTGATTGATTTTTGCCCAAAATGTGCTGAAATATACTTTAGAAAACTGAAACATAGTCTGATTCTGAGAGATTTACAGTACGCAGGAAACGAAGCTGACAAAGGAACTGACAGAGTGATCCATCACCTCACTCGGTTCTCTCTTCCACTCAGGATCGAGTGATGATCAACAGGATGGATAACATCTGCGAGGCCGTCCTGAAGGGCAAGTGGCCTGTCAACAGACGCCACGTATTCGACTTCCCTGGCAACCTCCTGCCAGGGCACGGCTCCTCAGCAACAACAGCGGCTGCAGCCATGGCGACCGAGAGCCCGCTCCAGAGGCGGAGCCTGGCTGAGCTGACAATGGCCGGCATCCATACGCCATTTAGTGGGAGTGAAGATAAAACACTATCACCTCAGGTTCATGTGAGTGTTTGCACACACGTACACTAAACAAGTTCAACAAATGACGTTACCCATTAATAGTATTCTCAGTTTACCATCATCATGTTTTTGGAAATGACGACACTGTGCCAAGCTCATATGTGAAATGCAGTTTTGGAACAGAAAGAGGACTGAGTGCTGACCTATTATTGCAGGAGGAGACTCTGAGCCTGACGGTGCCTCGACAGAGGAGGAGGAGGAGGAAAAAGATTGAGATTGAGGCAGAGAGGGCAGCCAAGAGACGTAACCTGATGGAAATGGTGGCACAGCTGAGAGAGAGCCATGCTGCTGCCGAGTCCCAGAGCCAGGCTATAGACCTCACCAAGGTGCTCACTAACACGTTCAGTCTAGTTACTAGCTCTTAACGATTGAGTCTTACTGTTGTTAAACTAAATCACTTCAGTTTTGGCAGCTACACAGTTGAGCTCAGTCAGCAGTCTTAGCTTGTCTCACTTCCAGCCTACATCAGCTGATGAAGTCAGCAGCATTTCCTCTAATGTGTATGATGTTACACGCCTGCTGTATTTGGCCTCTTTAGCTTTTGTGTGCTACTACAGAGCCATAAAAATACTTCAGAAGGAATGCCAGTCCTATTTTAACTGAAGTGGTCCTGACAGATTTTGTATTAATGTTTAAAGTGTAAAAGTTGATGCATTACAACTGATCTGATCTGATCTGATCTTCAGGGTATGCCCCATCACCACAAGGCCTCTCCCTCACTGACCAGCTTCTCCAGTGCCCTGGTGACAAACCCCTCCCTCAAGGCGCAGATGGATTTGCTTCAGCAAGGCCCAGCGACTGGACACCGAGCTAACGGTTCACTGGAGGCTGACCTGCCTGTCATTAGGAGGAGGCGTGGCCGCAGGAAAAATGTGGAGGGTTTGGAGCTGCTGTTCATGGGCAACAGACGAACAGAAGGGGTATGTAGGAGGGCAAATGTGATCATTTGTGTCATGCACACAGATGTGATCCTTGTACAGATTGTCAAGGTAATCCTTCCCTCTGCGTCATCTTTTCAGGATCATGCAGACGGGCCAAAGGTCTCAGGTGTGGAGGGGCTTCAGGATGCTTCACGTGTCCACAAACCCCGCAATGTCTCTGAGCAGAGCCCCAGTGCAAGATCTCTCGCCTCAGGCAATCTGGAGGAAGAAGAGACGGCGGTTTCCAACAAAGAGCTCGGCGAATGGCTGAGGCAGCACCCAACGTACACCATGGATATGCCTGGTTTCACACCAGTAAGTCCTCTTGTTTTTTCTGCATTTTTATTTGATAATTACTGTGGATTGTTAAAGCTCAAGCGAGATTATCACTTGATGGATGTTGTGGACGCGTTTCTTAAATGTGCCCTGTGTTGTTTTCTTTGCGCTACAGAAGAATGAGGACTTGCTGCTGTCTCAGTTCTCTAAGCCTAAGCAGAAGCGCCATCGTTGTCGAAACCCCAACAAGATAGACATCAACACACTGACGGGGGAGGAGAGAGTGCCTGTGGTCAACAGAAGGAATGGACGCAAGGTAAGCTAACACTGCCTCTCCAAGATCGTCTCTTTGTTTCAGAAAAATGACATTTTCAACACCAACCTCACTTCATTTTCCTGTTTTCTAGATGGGCGGAGCCATGGCTCCTCCAATGAAAGAGCTTCCCAGGTGGTTGCTGGAGAACCCAGAGTTTTCGATTGCTCCTGATTGGACAGATATTGTCAAACAGTCTGTGAGTAACGAAGGCACAACCTACACTTGGTGATAATGTAGTTAACTGAAGTTTTTACTTAAAAAAATCCCTGTCTACACAGGGTTTCCTCCCTGAAGCGATGTTTGACCGCCTTCTGACCGGCCCTGTAGTCAGAGAGGAGGGCGTCCGCCGTCGGGGGCGTCGCCCCAAATCTGAGATCGCCAAGGCAGCCGCTGCTGCGCAGGCAGCTGCTGCAGCTCAGGCTGCACAGGCTTCACTGGCCACGGCTGCTTCATCAGCAGGTACGAACCAACCAACCGTCTGGCATGTGGATCAGGCAGGAGTGTGTCTCAGTAGACTGTGTGTCTGAACCCTCACTTACTGTGTGTCTGCAGGAGGCATCAACCCTTTGCTGTTGAACAGCCTGTTTGGAGGGATGGACCTGTCTTCTCTCCAGAGCCTTCAGTCTCTCCAGTTGGCTGCAGGTCTGATGGCCTTCCCTCCCACAGACCCCAAACAGGCCGCTGCCAATGCCGCCGCCGCCTCCATGCTGCCTCTCATGCTGCCCGGCATGGGAGGCCTTCCCAACATGGCCACCGCCCTACCCAACATGTTCAGCCTCGGCGGGCTCTTTGGAGGTAACCTGGCAACAGCCACAGCCGCTGCCCCAGCTGCACCCAACTCCACAGCCACCACCACAGCAGGCAAAACGAACGGAACAGCCGAAGGAGAGGGAGGAGACTGTGGCGAAACGGCAACAACAAAGAGGAAGAGGGAGGGAGAGGAGAGAGACGAAGCAGGAAACCGCAATGAGGCGGGAGAGGACGAGGAGGCAGCTGAGGGAAACGAGGAAGGAGTGAAGAAGGCAAAGAGGAAGAAGATGGAGAAAGAGGATGGGGCAGAGAAAACTGAGGCATCCCTCAGCGAAGACGCCGTGGCGCCTCAGATCCCAGCTGCCGATTCGTCAGCAGAGGCAACCATCAACGGTGACGCCGCCACCCTGCTAGCTGCGGCGGGCATGTCTGCTAACACCCTGGCATTCAACCCCTTTCTTCTCTCCACCATGGCCCCTGGTCTCCTCTACCCGTCTATGTTCCTACCTCCAGGCCTTGGAGGGCTCAGCCTACCGGGCTTCCCCACCGCCTCCAACCTTGCTGAACTACAGAGTGCAATGGCTGGAGCGCTGGGGGGCAGTGCTGGGACTCCAAATGCCCTAAGAGACCAAGAGAAGGAGGACAAGAAGGCAGATCTGAAAGCAGCAGCAGAAGAGGAGGAAGAAGAGGAAGAGGATGAAGAGGGAGGAGGAGAGAGTGACTTAGCTGAGGAGAAGGAGGGGGAGATGAGAAGTGAGGCTGATTATTCAGCTTTAGAGGATGGAGGGATGGGCGAGGAGGAGGAAGAGGCGGCGGCAGAGGAAGCAGCAGCATCTTCACAGAAGGACAAGAGTGACTGAACTAAAACACAAAACTGACTGGCCTTGGACATTTCTTCACCTCCTCCACCCACCACGTTTACACGCCTCCACCAGAAATATCCAAACTATTATAAATCCTTTTTTTTTCCTTTGCATTGTTGTTGATGATTTACTTTCACTTTGTTGTTTTTTTGGCCAGTTATATTTCCTATGCGTCAGAGAGAACGAGGTTTGTGCGTGTTAAGTTAAATCTTTCTGATCGATAGTGTAGTCAGGGAAAATCCTCACAGCCGCTCGCCGAGTGCTCGGCTGCTCTTCAAAGACTGTTTCTTTTTGTCTGGTTGGCCTGTGTGCGCACACTGTGAACGGTGCACCCACGCTTCCCTCCCACAATCCCTCAAACAAGACTTCACAAGGGTTCCAGTAGTACTACTATTATTATTATTATTATTGTTATTATTATTATTATTATTGCTGCTTTCAGCTCTCAAATGTTTTTTTTCTTCGCCTCCTCCTTTTTTCCTTTGTTTTTTCGTCTGGACTGTTTTGTTGTTGTCGGCAGCATCTCATCAAAACGAGAAGCATCCGCTGCCAACACTTTTTCCAGCGTTTAAGGGGTGTACTGCAAAGTTGGAGGAGCCTAAAGCCAGAAACTACACTGTTTTAGGAAGTCGGACACAGAATATTCACTCAGTGAGATTCTTTTAATTATTTTGCATTGGTGTCAAAACCTTAATGCAGACTTTATCATCATGTTTAAATTGATTGGTTTGAGGTTTATCATCTCTAATGTGTAGCCATCACCTGAGTGGTAGAATAACTACTTAACTGACTGTACATTAAGACGGATCACATTTTTGATCACTCACACAGCCTTAAGCAGAAAGGGTCACGGAAGAGTTGAACCGTCTAATTCAGGGTTTGAGGTTGCTTTGCAGTGCACCCCCGTGAGCTCAAAAGAAAAGGAAAACAGCATTTCAGCTAACCCGACTGTCTGTCTGACAAAGCTGCTGCAAAAGGAATTGTGGGTAATGGAGTTGAGCTGTTCTTACTCAGAGCAGATTTTAAGTTCTCACATATCAGACCAGGTAGATGTGGAGGAGGAAACAAAACCAGACTGGCCTAAAGGAAGAAGAAGGAAAAAAGAAAAAACTCAGTCTCACACACTGACGTCCACAACACACACACCCAACACATACTTGATCATTAGCTGCACACGCTCTTTCAGGTGTCCACCACTACACGCTCACACACACACACACACACTAACCCCTTTCTCTGTCATGTGACTGTTTCTGGGAGGACTGTTTCTCTTTGAGTGTACGTGTGTGTGCTTGTGTGCACGCTGAACCAATACTGTTAAACCCAGTCCCACACTGAATACCAGTCTCCGGTCTTTCCATTGCCACATCTCAAAACCTTCCTCCCGCTTCAAGGCGCCTGGTTTTGGCTCAGGGGGTGACAAGCGGGCTGGGTCTGACACCAATCAGGTTTTCTGATTGGTCCACTTCGAGCTGCTTAATCCAGGCGTCCTCATTTGGGAGGCTTCTGTAAATGGATTTTGGAGAAGTGGTCTACAACGGGATGCGATGCTTCAGGTTTATTCTTTAAAGGGGGGGCAGCATGTTATAAATGCTTTGTTTTTGTTCTCTTCACCTCCTCCCAGTAGTTCCAGACCGAGTGCTGCTCCCTGGCGACCTTCACTTTAAAGACTGTTGCTTTAGTCACACACTGACACCAGGCCTGGCCAACGCAGGACTGAGACACATTTTTCAGCAGAGTTGGAAAATTGCATTTTCTATATGAAGTTCAACTCTTCTCACTGAGTATGTTTGAAATACTTGAAAAAGCGCGAGCGGTGCTTGATTTTCCGTTTCCCCCCCTGAGGCCAGTTCAAGTGTCTGATATGAATCAAGTGCTGCGAGTGGTTCAAATATTTGAGAGTACATTCAAAGACACACACACTGTGGCCAGGTCTTGTTTTTTTTGTTTTTGTTTTTAACATTTGCTCTCACAGCCAGCCCAGCAGATGCAGAGAGAGGGAAGTGGGTTAGAGGTGAGGGGAACACCTTCCCCATCAAAGATCCCCGTTCTCCTCTCTAACGCTGAGACAGCAATAACCAAGGCAGCTTTTGAATGTTCCAGCATCACTCTCCCAACACACACACACACACACACTATAAATAACCACAAGTGTCGTATGAATAGAAAAACAAAACTAAAACTGTAAATGATGACAAATAAGTACTGCAATCAATTTTGTCTCACGCTGTTCCTGTTGATGCACTGGTGTTAAAGAGTTAAAATAATCAGGTACCTTTATTACTTAGCTACTTTTCTTGAAAAAAAGGACTTTTTGTTACTTTTAGCCAGCAAGCTGAAGAGCATTACCTCAATTCTTATCTAGCCTTGAAGTTTACAGACATACCATGTAAATGTTTTTTCCTCTTTTTTTTGGTGTGTGTCTTTTTTGTTTTTTTTGTTTTTTTTCTTTTGTTTTTTGAGACATCATGTATGATGAATTGTAGCTATGATGCTTTTAATAAAAGTGAATCATGATATTCGCCTAGGAAACCAATCCTCAGCCTGTGTCTCATCATTTGCCTCCCTGCACTTGAATAAATGTTCAGGTTTTGTTTTTTGTTTTTTTGTCTTTTATAAGAGCTTGTGTGAAGAAACGAATCTCTGGGAGTCATTACAGGAAGTTTTGTTTGTTTTTCCTTTACAAATGTTAAAAGCTATAGTGTTGACCTTTGAGTAAAATTAAAGTTGGTGCCAAAAAAGGGCCTCACTTATAAAAAGTTAGACATGCTTTTATTTTTTGAGAACTTAAATGAAAGCTGAAGGGACCAAAATATACGATTAAAGTTTGTGGGGTTTCTTGGTTTTTTAAATAGGACTCTTGTGAACACGGCACCAGACTGACGACCTGTCCAGGGTGTGCCTGGCCCGACAGCTGGTGTAGGCTCCAGTCCAGTGACCACGAATTGGTTAAATGTAAGAAGATGGATGTGAAAGCCACTATAGTAGACTCACAGAAAATTAGCCCTTTAATAAAAGTCCTGATTTCTGGCACATAAAGTTGAATCTAAAGTAGAATTCCCTTTGCAAAACTGATTGATGCTACTGAGATCATCATCCATCCAGCTGCAGACTTTGGCCTTTTTTGTCAAACTAAGGCCCGGTGAGCAATTCTCTCATTTTGATCTCATCTCACCATAATTTTATCATCTGCTCAACTCTAACCGTTGCAGCTGATGCTAATTCTCTGACCAGCAGACTGCTTAGATATTAGATGAAATATACGTACAGTACCATGAGTGTGAATACAGTTTGTACAGTGTGTCACTAAAGCCTTAGATCCCCCTAGAGGATCCAGTGGTCATTACACACGAGTGGAACAGATCAGAGAGGTCAGACCTTTGGTTGGATGAACATGCTGGGATCATACAGGAGTGTGAGTGCAGAGTGTGACACCATAAATGAGGAAAATACTAAAAGTTTAATTAACATTTCAGGTCAAGTGGAGGTGAAATAAAGGAACAGGAAGCTGCCAAACTCTAGCTGTGTGTCTGGGTGTGTGTACCACTCCGGCCAGGCATCAAAAATGGCCTCTCTCCCACTGGAGCTGCTGACAAAACACAAACTGACAGCAAGACCCAACTGTCTCCCTCTGTGCATGCGTGTGTCTGTGTCTGTGTTTCAGTTAATGGACAATAACATGTAATGTTTTGGCTGTTCGTTTTCATGCTGTGAATTTAGGCATTTAACTACACTATATTTCAGTTCTCTCTTATGATGATAGCACAGCTAAAGCACAATGTGTTTAATAAAGTCAAATAAATGCTAATACGGTTAAAAGCTCTCCAGCCATCAGTTGCAGGTCTGCTTTAACCCTTTTCTACTAAATTTCCTACTAAATTCAACCCATATAAATGTACCGCAGTTTTTTGACAAAAGTAAAACTACTTATTAGTGGTATCGTACTATCCAGAGAGGGTAAACCATATGTTTTTGCTATCGCCTAAATACAGAGATGAGAGGAGAAATAATGTCTGTCTCCTGAATCCAAACTGGGAGCTGGTTCCACAGAAGAGGAGCCTGAAAGCATCAACTACAGCTGCCTGTGTTGACACACCCGTTGATGAAAGCATCTTTAATTGAAAGCCTTAAAAAATCTAATTGGATTGTGTGTGTGTTTAAAAACACACACACAACCAGTCATGAAAGCTAAACTATCCACAGCAGCTGTTCATACTATGCTGTAAATACACTATTTAATGCTGTTAAACTGGAGATTTTGACATGAGTGTCTGTGGGGATTGAATGGCTTTTGGAGCCAGCCTCAAGTGGCCACGAGTAGAAACTACAGTTTTTTCACTTTTCAGCCACTTGATGAAAATTTTTAGCGACAATATGATTTTTGATGCGACCTTTACGGTAAACATCAGTACTTCCATACCAATATCTCAGAGTTAATACTGACATAATCAAAATCACTCATGCACTTCTTTAAAAACTTGTCCAGACCTGATTGAATGAAAGTCAACAGGATATCATCACATTTTTAGTTATGCAAACATAAGTGTGTAAGCGAGGGTGTGTTTACTCTAGCAGAGGGTAGAGAGAGGTGTGTCTCTCACTCGCTCTCCTCTCTCTCTGTGTGTGACAGACGTCTGGCTTAATCGCCTTGCAGGAGGAAGTGGGACGTGAAATCCACCAGCCGTCCCATGCCCCCTGCCCCTCTCACACACACACTGAATTACCAACTCAGCATGCAGTCTTGTCTTCTTTCCTCATTTCTCCTTCCAGGAAATCGAGGGGGAAGTGTTTTATTTTCTGTCCACTTACTGAAGGTCATTGTTAAAATATGAAAATGATCAAGCAGGGTTTTAAGATAAAAATAAAGTATTTTGATGCATGTGTACTCTACTGTATACATATATCACATTTCAAGCTTTGGTGAAATAACTTTACTTGCTGCTTTCTGACTCTGCTTCTTTACATTATCAATAAACACAACAACTGAGGGAATCCCCACTTTAAGCAGTGATTTCAGAGGGATCTGCAGCCAGAAGCAGCTCTGCTGTCATTGTGGCTCTGTCTCAATTTATATCACTTGTCATTGTCTTGCCAGGTTCTGCTCTGCCAGCAAATTTCCAGTGAATTTGCCCAGATTACTGAATATCTGTCTAACATACTGCGCAACATGCTAGTCATAATCCAGATATCAAATCAGGAGGGAAAAGCGAAACAAAAACAAGACAAAAAATGATTTTTTTTATGTTAGGATGTAGGATCAAGGGTTGTTGGAGGGCGAGAGGTTGGAAGTCAGAATATCTTGGCTTGTGGTTTTTGAATATATCCTTTAAAAGATGAGCTGTACAGAAACAAAATGTTCCTTTAGTAATTTATTGAAGGAAAATGATCTATGGTGTGTGTGTGCTCCTGCAATGAAGAAATGTACTTTTATTATTTTGAGTATACACACTCTAGTTTCTTTTCATCAGTCCCATGTCCCATCCATCCATCCATCCATCCATCTTCATCCGCTTTATCCGAGGCCGGGTCGCGAGGGCAGCAGCCTAAGCAAAGAGGCCCAGACCTCCCTCTCCCCAGCCACCTCCTCCAGCTTATCCGGGGGAACACCAAGGCGTTCCCAGGCCAGCCGAGAGATATAATCTCTCCAGCGTGTCCTGGGTCTGCCGCGGGGCCTCCTCCCAGTCCCATGTCCCATACTTCCCTAATAGTCACTAGAGCACCAAAGGTATATATTTTTAACCTCCTAAGACCCAAACTCTTTTGTGGCATGCATCTTTAATTTCTCTTGGCTATTTGGGCTTTAATATTCAATAGAACACTATAATGTCACAATTGAGTAATGATGAGTAAAACTCTTTATTTAGTGTCTGAACACAGCAGCATTTTTCCTAAGTATAAAAAAAAAAAGGAGAAACAACAATTGTGCCCCTTTGAGCAATATGGCTCTTTTGGAAGAAAGAGAAAAATTTAGTATCGTGGTCTAGATGACCCAAAATGTGATGTCCACATATGTGGACGCAGGTCCTAGGAGGTTAAGGTGAATGGCTGGTTTCTCTCCTGTCCACAAAATGCTTAACCAAAATGTAGGGAAAATAGATTTTATGCGCATGCAGTAGAATTTCAGCGGCATCCACAATCACGTAATGTCTGTGCTCGGACCGTTGTCGTGGTTGCAGCCGGGTATTGTGTACAGCAACCGTGGACAGTGTTGGGAAGATTACTTTTAAAATGTATTCCATTACAGATTACAGAATACATGCCCCAAAATGTATTCTGTAACGTATTC